ACTGCCATTCACAATTGCTACAAAAAGAATAAAATATCTAGAAATACAACTAACAAAGGATGCAAAGGACCTCTTCAAGGAGTACTACAAACCACTGCTCAATGAAATAAGAGAGGACACAAACAGAAGGAGAAACATTCCATGCTCATGGTTAGGAAGAATCAATATAGTGAAAATGGCCATACTGCCCAAAGTAATTTAAAGATTCAATGTTATCCCTATCAAGCTAACAAGCACCTTCTTCACAGAACTGGAGAAAACCACCTTAAACTTCATATGGAACCAAAAGAGAGCCCGCATAGCCAAGACGATCCTAAGCAAAAAGAACAAAGCCATTGGCATCACACTACCTGACTTCAAACTATACTACAAGACTACAGTAATCAAAACAGCATGGTACTGGTACCAAAACAGATATATAGAACAATGGAGCAGAACAGGGGCCTCAGAGGCAACGTTACATATCTACAACCATCTGATCTTTAACTAACAGGACAAAAACAAGCAATGGGGAAAGGATTCCCTGTTCAATAAATGGTGTTGGGAAAACTGGCTAGCAGTGTGCAGAAAGCAGAAATTGGACCCCTTCCTGACACCTTACATTAAAATTAACTCCAGATGGATTAAAGACTTAAACATAAGACCTAACACCATAAAAACCCTAGAAGAAAACCTAGGCAAAACCATTCAGGACATAGGCATTGGGAAGGACTTCATGACTAAAATACCAAAAGCAATGGCAACAAAAGCCAAAATAGATAAATGGGATCTAATTAAATTCCAGAGCTTCTGTACAGCAAAAGAAACAATCATTTGAGTGTACCAGCAACCAATAGAATGCAAAGATTTTTTTCCCAATCTACCCGTCTGACAAAGGGCTAATATCCAGAATCTACAAAGAACTAAAGCAGATTTACAGAAAAAAAACAACCCACCAAAAAGTGGGCAAATAATATGAACAGACACTTTACAAAAGAAGACATACACGAGGCCAATAAACATATGAAAAAATGCTCGTTATCACTGGTTATTAGAGAAATTCAAATCCTAACCACATTGAGATACCATCTCACTCCAGTTAGAATGGTGGTCATTAAAAAATCTGGAGACAACAGATGCTGGAGATGATGTGGAGAAATAGGAACACTTTTACACTATTGGTGGGAGTATAAATTAGTCCAACCATTGTGGAAGACAGGGTGTCACTTCCTTAAGGACCCAGAAATAGAAATCCCATTTGACCCAGCAATCCCATTACTGGGCATATACCCAGAAGATTATAAATCATTCTATTATAAAGACACATGCACATGTATATTCATAGCAGCACTGTCTATAATAGCAAAGACCTGAAACCAACCCAAATGCCCGTTGATGATAGACTGGACAAGGAAAATGTGGCACATATATACCATGGAATACTATGCAGCCATAAAACAGGATAAGTTTGTGTTCTTTGTAGGGACATGGATGAATCTGGAAAACATCATTCTCAGCAAACTGACACAAGAACAGAAAATGAAACACCGCATGTTCTCACTCATAGGTGGGTATTGAACAATGAGAACACATGGACACAGGGAGGGGAGCATCACACTCTGGGGTCTGTTGGGGGGGCAGGGAAGGCACAGCGGTGGGATTGGGAGGTTGGGGAGGGATAACATGGGGAGAAATGCCAGATATAGGTGATGGGGGGAGAGAGGCAACAAACCACATTGTCATGTATGTACCTATGCAATAATCCTGCATTATCTGCACATGTGCCCAGAACCTAAAGTACAATAAATAAATAAATTGCAAACCTAAAAGATTATTCTACTCAGCACTCTAAACATATTTCACAGTCTTCTGACATTTTATTGCAATCAAAAAGTTAACTGTTAGTGGACAGTGAATTGCCTATTAGCTTCTCAGGTTTGGTCTCTGTCCTTGGTATTCTATGGTTTTCTGGAATGTGCCTAGGAAGGATGAATACATAGATTGATGGATGGATTTATGGATGATATATCTGTGTGTTTTAAAGGTGAAAGTTCTGGTCATTTATCATTTCTGTAAAGTTTTAGAGATTTGGTTTACAATTACTTCGTATATGGCTCTTCATCTTTCCTTTCTGAAATACTATTAGTAGAATGTTAAAAATCTTGACTCTTTAAGCCTCCTTGCAAGTGTTTTGTATAATTTCTAATATTTCTTTCTAGCAGTTTTCTCAGATTTATATTTCAAATCACAAATTTTCTGAAGCTGCTTTGTTCTCACCTTTGTTCAGTTTACTACTTACCTACTTTTTTTTAACCTCAGTGACAAAATTCTTTATTTCTACATGTTCCGTTTTTATCAATTTGAAATTTGTGTATTTCATTTTGTCTTATATTACTAGATTTCTTTTTAAATGTCTTTAATCATTCTAGACCCCCTTTTTTTTTTCTTTGTATAGTCTTTAATTTACTATTTCAGGTTCCTGGGTACTAATATTCTTGCTTTTTTTATCTGTTGGCTACACTCATGCTGGATTATAATATTTTTTTACAAATTCATTTTTCTCTTGAAACCTGGGATGTGAGAGAATCTCTATAGAACAGTTTTTCACTTATTACTGTTTGCCTCATGGATTCCACCACCAAAGATAAATTATTTCTCAGGCCATGCAGATTCAATAAATTTAAACACCAAACTTGCATGATTAGTGGACCCATGATTAGTGTTTTAGAACTGTTTTTTCACCCATCCATTTGGGATGGTACAGTCAGTAAGCTTTGTTATTGTCTGAGATACTGGGTAGATTTTTTTGCTAGCCTATCCTTTTAAATTCTTAGACTTATACATATTATGTATTAGTGCCAACACCCTGCCTTATAGAAGCCAAAGCCTCATGTTCTTTATCTAGTGGGGAACTAAAATTCAATCTATAATATTTGTTGGACAATAGCTCACTCTGGTCAACCTCAGTGTCAATACACTTTATCTGTTTAAATTTCTTTGTTTTTTAGCATTTGAAGATTTACTTTCTTATGAATTCTGACACTTTAATACCTTTTGTCTATGCAAATGAGCAGTTTCAAATGTTTATTGTTGAAGACTTTTCTCACTGCTATGGAATGAATTGTGTCCTCTACTCCCAAATTCATATGTTGAAGCCTGAGCCTCCAGTGTGACAGTATTTGGAGACAGGGCCTTTGAGAGATTGTTAGGTTTAGATGAGAGAATACGTGTGTAATCCTCAGATAGGATTAGTGCCTTTATAAGCAGAGATACCAGAAAACTCTGTCTCTCTCTGGATGTGAGGTCACAGGGAGAAGGTGGCTCCTGCAACCCAGGATGTGAGCCCTTACAAAACCCAATGGTCCTGGTACCCTCATCCTAGACTCCCAGATTACAGAACTGTGAAAAAATAAATATCTGTTGTTTAAGCCAGACAGCTGCTATTATTTTGTTATGAAAGTCTGAAGAGACTAAGATTGTCAGCCATCTTTCTGAAACATTGAATCTCCAATCCTTTACTTGTTCAATTAATACAGATGAGTTTTAAAGAAAAAAAAAATAATGTTGCTGCTTTTACCTTTAAATAAACAACAGAGATACACTAGTATGAATGCTGCATTTGACTCTCCCTGGATTTAGGAAAACCACAGTATCTGAGCAAGTGACATATAAAAAAAAAAATTCTACTAATTCATTTGGAACAAACAGTTTAATTCCTGTAAATCCCAAATTCCTGTAAATCACAAGGGAAAGATTTAAATTCAGAAAAATAGTCAAGAACAGAATGATTTTATTTTGTCAAGGCAAAAAGAAAAAGAAAAAGAAACAACAAACAGTTTCTATATGAATCCAGAAGCCAACTGCTTTGGTTTTAATGTGTCCTCTAAAATTCATCGGAAACTTAATTCTAACACAGTGTTGAGGTAGGACTTTCAAGAAGCAATTAGGTCATGAGAGCTCTGCCCTTGCAAAATGGATTAATAGCTTTATTAAAATTGGGTTAGGTATCATGTGAGTGAGTTCCGGATACAACGAAAACATTCAGCCCCCTATTTCTCTCTCTTCCACAGGTTCATTCTTTTGCCATGTGATGCCTTCTGCCATGCGAGAAGGTCCTCACCAGATGCAATCCCTCAGTTTTGAATTTTCCAGCCCCCAGAATTATAAGCCAAATAAATTTATATTATTTATAAATTACCCAGTCTGTGATATTCTGTTATGCAACAGAAAACAGACTAGGACACCAATCTATTGAAGCCTAATAAAGTGAAAACTTCTGTATTGAAAATAAAATATCTTGGGGGGAATTTGTTTAATAAAAATGGAGCTATAATTATTGTCGTAGCTATAAATTATTACCAAGAGTCCTCTAGCTAATTTGAAGGCTTTAATGTGTCTATAGTTAGAAATGAGAAATTTACTGCAGTAAACTATGTAGTGTCTGTTATACTCTTAAAACAAAGAAATCTGTTATATGGCAGCCGTATAACCCTGGAGCATCCTCATGAACTGTAAATAATCTGGGCTCTACTATGTTCAGGGTAAAAAAAAAAATTAGCTGATATTTAACACAGAATTATATTCTAGCCATATAACCAAAGGCTTTAAAAGCACCTTTTCCTTCTCTTTCAGAGGCTGGTATTAATAAAATTACTTGGTAATTTGGCAGTTGTAAATTGTGACCTCCTGTCAGTGGCTGGGTCACAAATGTCTCCCTCCTTTCTTTTTTAAACACTGACGGGTTCAACAGAGTAAACATTGACTTCATAAATAAGCAGAGAGTCAGAGTACTAGGTTCCAGTCACTTCCTTAATGGAAAATAAGCAGAGCAATTTAATAGTGGGTGTGGGAATAAGAAGGAGGGGGAACCAGGATCATAGTCAAGCAAATAATGGAATGAATACCCTATTTAAGTATGCCAGACATTCTCGTGTAAAAGAAGCTTGTGGGTCACCAGATACTACAGGAATGGCATATTGGGTTGAGCCCATAATTAAGGAGAAGACGTAAGTAAGGAGCTAACCTACACTATAATTATTACTCTTATGAGTCTTACTTCAGTAAGCACTTTGCACTGATGATATGAAATGTGTTCTCCTTTCAGTATCAAAAGTTAAAGAGTAAAGTATATGGCAGATTGGAGAGTCATCTAATACTCCCTCTATTGCAAAGACTGTGGCTATCACTCTATCTTTGCAAAGCTGAAAAAAGCTGGAATTTTTACAAGGTAGCATTAAAAATGTTGATTTTAAAAGTACCTATTACTTTAAGGATTTCACATACCAGATGACTTTATGCCAGTTCTTTCCCAAATCAGGTAGTTAGTAATCAAAGGAGAAAATGGTTAAACTCCCACCCCCATTAACACTACTACTACATACATGCACACATACACACACTTTTATGTCCAGTGGAAGCACTGGCATATTGTTTTTCTTTCTAAAATCTTGTTTCCTCATAGCATTTCCAGATATTCATGTGGAAGACATGGTTAGATATGATTTTTCCTTGTTAATTGTTTCTGGATTTGGTTTGGGGCAGAGTATGCCCATTCCTAGGCAATGAAACATGACTGACTGAAGCTAATCATAATAGCTCTGTCACTTTCAAAACTGCTAGGAATAACCACGTACAAAGTTTAATGAGACCCAAGTGGGAGTGTTCCCTATAGGCTCCTGGGAAAACAGCTTTCCATAAAAGAAAATAGGTAACACAGCAGGTGTTACCCTTCTGCTTCCCTACGTTACTTTCTAGATTTCTAGCTGCAGCCACTGCAGTTGTGTCTGATCACAAGACAAAGGCAGAGTGAGTTGAAGGGACATAGACCCTGATATCACTGAGTTACTGAACAATATCAGCCTTGACTGATATCTGGTCTTTGCATTATGTGGGAAAAATAAATTGTTTAAACTAGAGCGAGCAAACTTTCATTGCTTGCAGTCAAATCCATTTTGACTGATACAAAATACATAGCACTTCTATTTGATAACTGCCTACTATCTAGCCAACATTAACAGGCATACAGAATTTATTTTCACAACAACCCCAAGGTAAAGATAGCTCACTTCAAATCCCAGGTTTACTTATGAGAAAGCTGACATGGCCAAAGTTATTGACTTACTTTGGGTTACTCAGTTGGTACATGGCACAGACTTGAAGATGCGGCTTATGTCATTCTTCTTTCAGTCATTCATTCACTTATTTATTTGAAAGAATTTTAAGGGCTTATAAGGCAGAAACATCTGTGTACCAGAAATATGAATATTATAATCAGTCTGTGCTCTCTAGGACCTCACAGCCTACTGAGTTCACAGTCTTTGAACTCTTAGCTTAATTGTCTTTTAATTTTATCTGTCTGCCTTTTTGTCTTTGCCATAGTTGTGTGAGCTATTTTTTTTTTAAATCACAATTCAGGTGATCTCAAGGGTATTTATCTAAACAAAAGATCTATCTTTTATTCGCTGCTAGAACACTAAAATGAATTTCTAACATAATTTCAAAGCCAGAATTTTCTCAACAGCTCATCTTCCTTTTAATAAAGGCCAACCTGCTAATTTTTCACCCTAACACTTCACCTGGATGTCTACTGTACTGAGCTAGTGTGAGGCAGTCATATGTCTAAAGCTCAAAACCACATTTCATAGTGATATATCATAGGTTATACTCCAAGAGAAGAACTGAACATAGAGGTGGAGGAATACAGACCACAAATACGCTACAAAATCCAGAAAGATGCTGGGCTCAATGCTGATTTAAATAAAGGGTCAAAACACTGTACCAAATTCAAAGGTGCCTGGAAAATAAGGATATGATAATGAAAGTACCTGTGATATGTAGAAAGAACACAGAAAATAAATTATACCAAGAGTCAAAAGACTAATTATGGTATCAATCGATCAATAATTTAATCTATTGTCAAAGCAATTAACTAAAAACTTTTGAAAATTCTTTATGTGATTAGAAATATGCTAAGACCTATAGAAAAAAGGAGGGCATAAAAGAATTATAAAACATCACCTTTTTGGTCAATTAAGTTAGTGTTCAGTTGGAGATGCAAATGAGGCAGAGAAAAGACCAATACATATGGAAAAAATTAGACAACATTTCAGTGGCACAGAATACAATGCCAGGAGAAAAAGATGCAAAAAGATGTTTCAGAACTGAAAAAGCATGATATATGATGCAAAGAGTCTGGGATTGGAATCCGATAACTTGACCACAGTTGCATCTCTATTAACTTACAATCTTTATGATCAAAAGGAAGATACAATTTAAGAATGAAAAGAGAATATAGAAGACTTTTTGAATTGCTAAATATTAGATATATATTATGTTTTTTTCAATGAAGGCTAGAATAGATGGAGAATATATATTTTATAGAAAAAAGAATGTAAAAAAGAAAAAAGAAAAAAAAATAGAAATGATTTATATACGCCAGAAACTAAGAGTAATGTTTCCTGAGAGAATCTGAGCAAAGATAGATACAGACACAAATCCTGAGCTGACTAAAAGACTGTATGGTTTTTCCATTCTCAACATGCTCCAACAATTCTAAATATCAGTGATGAAATACTCCTTTGCAAAAAAGTATCTTGTTGGTTTCATTTCTAAATTCCTGAGATTACTGTTGACTTTTAATATCCGAGTGTAATGTGACCTTTAAATTAGTACTGTTCTGTAATAAAATCTATATGTTCTTTAATAAATGTCATATTCTACATGAACTTTGAAGAACTACCAGTTCACAAGACATTCGTAATGGCTCAACATCCTTTGAGTTTGTCTTTCCAAATGCTGTCATTGTACATATTCCTGAGTTTAAACACTAGATATACAAAGATTGCACGTGATTGTAAAAATGAAGAAAAATAACATGAGCTATTCATTTTTGTCATTCTAGGTGACTACTTGAAGTTCATATGTTTAAAATTTTTGAGAATGAAACAAAAGAAACTGTATATCGTTAAGTGTCTATTTTAGGCTATACACAAAGTAATATGTTGAATTTTCGTAACTTTTTTCAAGTTGAAATTTTCTTTCTTAATTGTTCATTTCTGAAATAAAGGATAAATAAAAAATTAATGATCATCACTGATTATCAGAAGATCACTACTGAAGATAACATTACATAGAAAGGAGGGTTGTTAAAAATCAATCTACTCTGAGGATTCAATACTCCAAGTATGCCAGAAGAGGGAAATTCCACAACCCCTAGGCACTGTTCTTTGAAAGAAGGTTAGTGCTTTGAATGTACTACTGACAGACTGTGCTATGGACAATCAGCACATTTTAATTCACCACTGCTCTACAGCAGGGCAGGCCCTAAGAGGGGAAATGCATTATCTGATACATTGGACATGGCTTCCCCTCTGTCCCCTTAAGACAAAATCTATGACATTGGAAAACCCTTCAATATCACATTTATACTGTGAACAGAAAACACAGTACAGTATTGAAAGATTGCTTTTGAGATGTGATGCAGAACTTACTCATTTTGTTTGCAAGCTATAATTGTGAGGCTTCACTCAGAAATATAGGTCTAATTATGCTATCTGAGCTCAGAATCTCACTGTTCTCACACATTGTTGTGGACAAGAATTGCCTAGGATGTTTGTTTAAAAATACAGATTTTTAAAGCTCATCCCCAAGGAGTCCAGTTTAGATCTGGAATAAAGTCTGGAATTTGTGTTTTAAATGAGCATACCAACGATGTCATGTAGGTTATTCTTCAGCCAAGATTTAATAAGTATTTAGAAACTGAAGTTCTCCGAAAAGTAGAATGACATTTACTTTTAAAATGGACAGATATGTGAAAGATTTCTACCAGATATTCTTTTCCTCCTTGTCACTTCTCATTTTGCCACAATAGCCAGATGATGCTGTTTCTGCCATGGGCCTCTCCCCAGCTATAGTCAGGCACCAGGAAAGCAGGGAGACCATCTTGTTCTTATATTAAGTATAAGCCCCAAAGGTGATGTACACAGCACAGTATATTCTTTGGAGTTGTTTCAAATAAAAAGAAGATGTCTGTGTGTGTTGGTTAGTGGTTTTAAGACATTCCATTTCTGAAAACAGAGATAATAACAAACAACAAAAGAAAGGTTCCCAAAAGCAAATATTTTTTTTTCTTCCTTTAATAGAGCCCATTCTCCTCCTGAGGGAGTCCTTTCCTACTCAGCTGTCATTGAGCCTTCCGAGGAGTTTTCCTCCTGGTAATTTCTCAGAGCCTAATAGGTCTATTCCTGACCCACTGGGTGTTTCTGTGGGCTGATGTATCCTCTCTTCTAGATTTATCCTCCTTCTCATTTGTACCTCCCAACTCCAGTGGGCAGAAAAATCAGATTTGCTGAGAACATCTGGGATTACAGAGAGTGCTGATGTGGAGAAAGGAAGGGCATCGTGATCTTAGAGAAACCCTCCTCTATAGAGTAAGTACAGAGTCACTCTGCCTTAGCAGACTTGCCGTCTCCCAGAAATTTCCTACCAATTTCACAGGAGCAGTTCCTGACGAGTTACCAAATATGACAGTATTTCACTACTAAAGAATCTATTCTTCCCAAACTCTAGTTTATGAAGATTCTGACATTGATTTTTTTACTTTTACAAATTATTTGAGAAAAAGCATTTAAATTCTAAGCATACAAACATGACAAAAGGGCATAGCTACCTGTCCCTTCCCTGGTCATTACAGTCTGCCCCAGCTGCCCCCTCCTTCATCCATTGAGGTATGTAGAAAAGAGGCAGAAATTGCCCATAATCATGCTATGCCTTTCTACTGTACATCCAATATGTGCTGTCATTATTTCAGTTTTTGAAGCTTCATGGCAGCATTGCCAGTGAAGATAATAGGGCCTATTATTTTCAATGAGCTCCATCAGGAGGTATCAATGCGCCTGCTATCACTTGAACAAAGACACATTGGGAAGCAACCCTGCTTTCTTGTCATCAAAATGGCCGTTAGTTTGTGACGACGACCCTTTTCCTTTTCAGCCCTGTTAGATTTGAAAGGGCCAAGAAAGGCAGTTTAGAAAGAAACAAGCCTGACTCCTTGCCTGGCTAGATGTATATATGAGCAGCTTTCATTTTATAGAATCGATAAGTTCAGCAAAGTAAAGCCTGCCTACCATTGATTTCCTATTTACAGCCAGAAATATGTTCCCATGGAAAAATAGCTTCAGATAAAACAATAAAAAAAAAAAAACAAAAAACAAAAAAACCTCCCAGCAAAAAAGCCACTTAGTGATGGTTATGTTTAAGGCAAATTAAGTGATTCTTCACCATTTGTTGGCCCAGTCTTGAAATCTTTTTTCAGCCCTGTTCTTGCCTAAACTTGTTTTTCCTTGTCTTTACATCCACAGCAACCAGGACTCTATCCCAAAGCTCCTTTGATCTGTGTATTATAGTGTCTTAATATTAGCCTTTTCTGAGACCACCGTAACAAGATTACTAGTCATACCCTTCCTAATAGTGGACAATTTCAGGATTGGTATAATGTATTTTTGTGAGTTTATTAAGTAAAAACAAACTTTAAAATATTTCAACTCTTGAATACTAATGTATATGTTTCTAAGTATACTACACGCTTATTTAATTCTCATAGTAGCCCACAAAGAGTGCTATCATCATCCCCATTCACAGAGGAGGACATCTTTGAGGTCTAGAATGGGGACTTGTTGAAAGTCACTCAGATAACAAGCACCAGAACAAGAGTTGAATCCTACAATTTCATTCTAGGGTCCATAAAACATACAGGAATTTACAGAAAATTCTGTTGTTGTGGAGTTGTTTGAAATGCTTGCTGTGTCTTCCTTACCACCTTCCCACCTGTTCCTTTTCCCTAAATATCTCCATACATGTTAATAGAGTCTTGGTCCATTTCCTCAAGTTTACCAGAGTGGAAAGCAGAAATAACTTCACAATTGTTGGGTTGCCTCTAGTGTTTAGAAGTTTCTAAATTCCATTAATTACTTTAGATGCTTCTGTGTCAAAATTATAAAAATGGAGGCAGCACATTTGAGAGAAGAATAAAATATGTTTGTGGATCTGCATGTTTCATAGAGAAATGAGAGGTGTCTCAGGAAAGCACTCCCAGCAGAAGGATTTTTGTTGTGTTCAAAAGCCCTGTGGATGCCATAATTTGCAGACTGCCTAGTCTTCACTCCAGTGAGGTCCATCCAAAGCCAGAAGCCAAGGCTTCAACGGTTCTACCTTCACATCAGCTGCAGAAAGCATTGACCTTCTCTGGCAGCTCCCAAACCCCACTAAGTCCCAGTGGATGTGGTGCCCTTCGGTGCCTGCTGACCTAGCTTAACCATGTCCAATTTATCTCTACCCTGCAACATTTAAGAATGCCTGTAATCCCAAGAGGAAGAGAGAGGATGGAAGAATGCCTGTAATCCCAAGAGGAAGAGAGATGATGGAAGAAGGGATGATACTGAATTGAGCCAACTTAAATATCTCTGAACTGGGACAGTGGTTGGATACAGATGTATTATACCAGGTTCATCTTCTGCTGTGTTTGAAATAAGTACAATCAGTCTTTGGCTGTAGTCAGGATAAGAATGCTACACAGCTAGTCTCACCACTTCAGTTGTCTAACAAATATAAAGTACTGCAAAGTTAACTGACTCTTAAAAATAGTATTATCAATGAAGAATGATTAGAAATATTTTTGGTAGGCTAATAAAATATCAAGGTTTTCACAATGCCATTTGACTTCTGGTTTACATGTGGGGCTAAAGGGCACAGACAAGAAGAAGTGTTCCATTGATCAGTATGTCCAATATACATAGTTAATTCTGGATAAGGTTGTATTTGTTTACTTATATCTCACTGAAAAAAAAAGACATTTCAATATCTGAGTCTAGCAAAATAACATCGACAATGTATAAATATGTCCCAAATTCCTCTGTACATTTAACTAGCCTTATCCTCACTGGTATTCTAGTCACCTTCCCACCCAGTAATTCTCATCTGCCTTTAAGAGACCAATAATGCCTGCATTTTTAAAAGCTTATTTTTAGGAGAAAACATTATAGTCCCCAAACTTCTATCACATACAACAGTCAGGTTACTTCTGATAGCCATATTTTTTGACAAAATAGGTAAGTACATAACAACTTTAGAGGTTGGAAGTCACCAATTTTTCCACAAGTCAGTGAGATGTCATAGCCTTGGAGTCTGTGCTGCAATTGGTAGTTTAAGCATGTGTAATACCCCTGAACTCTACATTTCTTAAGCCAAGGCCATGTCTTTTTTAATGTTTTCTATGCACAATTTAAATGCAGTGCATGGAATATAGTGTGTGTCTAATAAATGCATCTTGTTCGATGATCAAATATTCTTATTTAGCTAAGGGCATGCTAAACAACAGAGTATGAGATCCTTGCTCACCCCCATGACCAACTGGTTACATCAGATTGTTGTAGTGTTAGGAGAAAATGACAGCTAAAAATATTGGTCCTGTTCTTTCTCAATAGTATTTTTTATAAACCTGGTAGAATTCTAATTATTTAAAAATATGATTAGTTAATCCTTGTAATGACCCTATGGGATACTGTTAATATTAGCATTGTATCCCTATTTTACAGATGAGGAAACCAAGGCATATGAGAAGATGATCTACCTAAAGTCACATGAGAAGATGATCTAAAGTCACATGATGAGCTGATCAGCAAGAATCCTTAGGTGTTTTTCCACATCAAGTATCATTATGTCATGTTATATTTGTACAGACAGTTTAGGTTTATGAGACATTGAGTGAACTGGTTAATTATCTATGATTGAAATTAAGTCTAAATGTATTTGTTTTAGACAGATTCCCAACTTGTCAATAAATTTCTCTGCTGTAAAATAGCTTGGCTAGGGTTGAGGCTGGGAGGATTCCAGGTTAGGTGTTTCAGGCTCCACATTTAAGGTAAATGTTCATGAACCATGATTTACTCTAGAAGTCTACATCAACACCTTAGATGCAGTTATTCATAAGTCACTCTCAATTATTAGCAACATAAGCTATTTTAAAATATAATCTTCCAGGGCTTTTATCACATACCTGCCCACCTAATTCAGCCTCTCAGTATATCAGGATATGTGGATAAAACTTTGCAAATCATATGTTAAAAGGTGGCATGACAACAGTTAATGCAAAAAGAATCTGGGCATATTCCTTAGCCACAAGTTCAATGATGCCAAGATTATGACAAAATGTCTAAGAGATAGTGCCATTTTATAATAAAGTATAGCTGTACAGTGTCTGGTTAGAGGTGATGAGTCTATATTTGAAGTGTGGGTTTCAATTTAAGGACCTATTTTTAAAGAAGAAAAATGACAGATTTGGATTACTCATCGAAAGTATGTTAAGGAAGACAAGGACATTTCTAAATTGAAGCAATTAAAGGGGTGGGAGATGTTTGGTCTGAAAAACTGAATGATCTAGAAAGCTCAAAACAGTGTCTTCAAATGTTTGAAAGAGCTTCTGTGGTGAGGGATAAATATTTTCACTTCAGACTCCTGCTTTCCTTTTCTGAAATACACCTTCATCTTGCTATTACTACTGCCTCTGACCTAAAATGCCTTCTTATTGAAATAATTTTCTAATTAGTGTCTCTGCACCTCATTTCATGTTTCTCCCACGTAAACCCTTCAGAACACACCAGAATTATCTTTCCCAAGCAAATCTTACTGTGACATTTCCCAGCTTAAAAACCTCCCAATGGCTCCTTAATGCACACAGAGTAAGCATGAACCATCTCTGCCTTACAAGGTTTAAGACTAAAATTCACATTTACATCCTGATACATCACTCCTGTCCGAATACCCCAACCATCAACCTTTCCTCAAGCCTACCCTTTAGTTTCTTATAACAAATCACCCTGAAAGAATTTGTACTTTCAAACCTGTATTCTTTTTAAGCTATTATTTCTCTCTGTCAGCAATTCTCCACCCCACATCCCACTTCTGAGATTCTATTCATCCTTTAGAACCAGCTAAAATATGTCATCTCTTCTGTGAACCCTACCTACCTGCCACAGTCGGAATTCAGGGCTTCTTCAGCATACCATTTGCCCTTTGTACTTTATCACTAGATTGTTATTCATGTGCAAGTCCTTCCATTTGACCAAATAATTAACTTATCAAATTGATGTCTTCACAACCTATGACAAGTTTTAGGTCAAGATAATTATTTTTCTTGAGTCAATGAATGAAGAAAACACATTGAAAGAAAATATATGTGGGCTCAGTAAGATAATATAGATTATGATGATATTTATAGTAATAGCTACCATTTTGAAGCACTTACAAGGTACAAGGACAAAGCAATACCACACACACACACACAACCATCTTGACCCACACAACCCTAGGCAGGCTGTTTACATATGTAGAAAGTAAAATAAAGGTTCCTATTCAAATTCTCTTAGCCTATTAAGAATAGATAGTAGTCTCTTTTTCTAGGTTAATCTACTCACAGACCTTTGTTTCATTTGCTAGCCAAAATAAAGAAATCAGTGTATTCTGTGTTCTTAGCTGTTACATTTTAGCCTAGATATCTGCCCTGACATGCCTGGATAAGTCCAGGCAAGGCTTAGGTCACAGCTTGTTCCTCTTTCTTTATTTAGAAGTATTTTTGCCTCTGTCAGCATCCCATAAGCTACCTCCTCTTTTCCTTTGTTCTCCTCTGTCCTTCCTCTTTAGGAAAGTTTTAAGTTATTAGCCAATTGGGTTTAGTGCAGAATGTGAGGTCCAGTTCCAGCAAATAAAATCAGGACACAGCAATAAGACTGGGTGTGTTAGACATAAATATGCTTGCTCTTCCTTTGTTCAGTGTATTCTCATGGTAAGACTGCTGGTGAGCAGTGTTCTTTCTGCAGGAAGTAAAAGAAAGCCTTGCGGAGAAATCTTTTGTCTGAATGCTGCTTCTTGCCTGCCACATCAGAAGATAAGCACTTATTCCCAACAGTGTACAACAAATCTGACAGACAAATGGCTTGCCCAAGATCACACAACTAATAAATCACAAAACTGGAATTTGAAAACAAGTCTCTCTGATCCTACAATCCATTCCCCAAACCGTACACCAAACTGCCTCTTTAAACCTCCTAAGAATGGGAAGTATCAGTTGATTCTATGGCTTCCTCAGGAAATTTGTTTCTGACTGCTAAAAGTGAGTGTTTCTTTCTCAGAGATACTTTAGAGTGATCACTCTTTGGAAGACTGGACTCTGCATGGATATGGCACCGAAGTAGGCATAGCTTAGAAGGGGCACTACCCAGCTACCATCTCACATAATTTCCTTCAGTACCCTTCTTAGATACTTTGAATATTTACATTATTTAAATAAAGTTATTGTGCAGGCACACACAGGAGATATTGTAGGTTCAGTTAAGCCACTGCAATAAAGAGAATATTGCAATCGAGTCGGAAACCTTTTGGTTTTCCAGCATATATAAAATTTATATTCACACTATTGTGTAGTCAAGTGTGCAAAAGCATGTTTTCTAAACAAATGCATATATCTTAATTTTAAAATTATTACTAAAAATGCAAATGATCATCTGAGCCTTCAACAAGTCATAATCTTTTTGCTGGTGAAGTGTCTTGCTTCAATGTTGATGGCAGCTGTGTGATCCAGGTGGTGACTGCTGAAAGTTGGGGTGGCTGCAGCAATTTCTTAAAATAAGACAACAAAGTTTACAGCATTAACTGACTGTTCCTTTCAGAAAAGATTTCTCTGTAGCATGCAATGCTGTTAGATAGCATTTACCCACAGAACTTTTTTCAAACTTAGAGTCGATCACCTCAAACCCTGCTGTTTATCTACTAAGTGTATGTAATATTCTAAATATTTTGTTTCATTTCAACAATGTCTACAGCACCTTCAGTAGAAAAACTTCATCTCAAGAAATTGCTTTGCTCATCCGTAGGAGGCAACTCCTCATTCATTCAGGTTTGATCATGAGATTGCAGCGATTCAGTCACATTGTCAGGTTTCATTTCTAATTTCAATTCTCACTATTTCTACAACTTCTGCAGTTCCTTCCACTACTGAAGTCTTAAATTATTCAGAGTCATCCATGAGGGTTAGGATTAACTGCTTCCAAACTCCTGTTAAGGTTGATATTTTCACTTTCTCCCATGAATCACAAATGTTCTCAATGACATCTAGAGTGGTGAATTCTTTCCAGAAGGTTTACTTTGCCCAGATCCATCAGAGAATATATTTCTTAAATAATAAGAAACATTCATTCTGTAGCCCATAGATCAATAAGTTATTTTCTTTCAAGTCTTATTATTTAAGAAATATATTGTTTAAAGCTATAGCTTCCTTAGATAGTAAAAAAATCTCTTTATACAACTCTATCAATGTTCTTGGGTGACTCATTGTATCGTCAATGAGCAGTAATATTTTGAAAGAAATCTTTCCTTTTGAGCAATAGGTGTCAATAGGGGGCTTACATGTATTCAGTAAACCACGTTATAGACAGACTTGCTGTCATCCAGGTTTTGTTGTTCCATTTGTAAAGCACAGGCAGAGTAGATTAAGCATCATTCTTAAGGGCCCTAGGATTTTCAGAATGGTAAATGAATGATGACCTCAGCTTACAGTCACCAGCTACATTAGCCTCTAACAAGTGAATCAGCCTGCCTTTGAAACTTTGAAGGCGGGCACCGACTTTTCTTCTCTAGCTATGAAAGTCCTAGATAACATCTTCTTCCAATGAAAGGCTATTTCGCCTACAACAGAAAATCTTTTGTTTAATGTAGCCGCCTTCATCAGTGATCTTCGCTAGATCCTTTGGATAACTTGCTGCAGTTTTTGTATCAGCACTTGCTGCTAAATCTTGCATTTTTATCTTACGAAGACAGCTTCTTTCCTGAAACCTCATGAACCAACCTCTGTTAACTTCAAAATTTCTTTTGCAGCTTCCTAACCTATTCAGCTTTCATAGAATTGAAGAGTTAGGGCCTTGACCTGCTTTAGGCTTGGGAATTTGGAAATGTTGTGGCTGGTTTGATTTTCTATCCAGACTGCTAAAACCTTCTCTGCATCAGCAATAAGGCTGTTTCACTTTCTTATCATTTATGAGTCTTCCTTTCACTTGAACACTTAGCAGCCATTTTAGGATTATTAATTGGCCTAATTTCAATATCGTATTTTAGGAAATAGGGAGACCCGAAGACAGGGAGAGAGATGGGGAAATATCTGGTTGGTGGCACAGTCAGAACACACACATTTATCCATTAAGCTCACTTTCTTTTATGAGTGTGGTTTGTGGTGCTTCAAAACAACAATAGTAACATCAAAGATCATCATAGATCACCATAACAGAAGTAATAATAAAGAAAAAGTTTGAAGTATTACAAAAATTACCAAAATGTGACACAAAGCGAGTGTGTGCTGTTGGAAAAATGGCAGCACTAATAAAGTCCCTGGATGAGGGGTTGCCACCAACCTTCAGTTTGTAAAAAATACAGTATCTGTGAAGTGCAAGAAAGAAAAGGGTAGTAAAATGAGGGGGGCTTGCCTATGCTTGTAAATGATCAGTCTCCAGACACATACTCCAACTCCATTTGCCCTCTCACAAGATTAATGCTCCAAGCTCTTCCTGCTGAGAAATTTGAG